GCAGTCTAACAGGTTGAGCGAGTCCCTCAATGAACCTCCTCACCCTCTCTCTCTCTCTCTCTCTCTCTCTCTCTCTCTCTCTCTCAGTGGGGAGTATCAGAAGAGCATGACGAGCTAAATCAATAAACCTCGTCTCGTACTGGGTGACACTCATAGAACCCTGCCGGAGACGCTCGAAATGCCTGCGGTGCTCCTCTCTCTGAGTGACGAAAAGAAACTTCTCGAGAAATAGCTGCGAGACCTGGACCCAAGTGAGAGCTGGTGATCCAACTGGTCTGGCCAAACAATAATCTCTCCACCATTTCTTGGTGGAACCTGACAGAAGAAAAGCAGCAAAGTCGACCCCATTGGTCTCCACTACCCCCATGTTCCGAAGAACCTCATGATGGCTGTCTAAGTAATCCTGGGGATCCTCTAAAGATGTACCACCATAAGTAGTAGTGAACAACTTGGTGAACATATCCAATCTCCATAAAGCATCGGCATACATAGCTGCTCCATCACCGGTCTGAGCTACTACCCCCGGCTGAACTGCTCCAACTTGCTGAGCTGCTGGAGTCTGAAACTAGGGAGCCATCTGCTCCGGAGTGCGGGTAGCAGGAGTTTTTGCTCCTCCTCCAGCTTGAGAGACGGCTGGTACTACAGGAAGTAAGCTCGCCTGAGTGAAACTCTCCATAAGGCCCACTAGACGGACCAAAGCATCCTGAAGTATTGGGATAGCAGTGAACCCCTCTAGGACCTGAGCGGGGCCCACCAAAACTGCTTGGGCCGGAACCTCATCATCAAACTCAACTTGAAGCTCCGTTGCTGGTGCTGCAGCTCTGGGCTGAGCTGTGCCCCTTCCTTGGCCCCTAGCACGGCCTCGTCCTCTACCCCTCGTGGGAGCTATTGCTGGGGGCTCGGGTTGCTGTTCAGTGGATGAAGAAGCACATGTTCTCGCCATCTACGAAAGAACAAAGTAGAAGTTCAATTAGCAATGAGAAACCAAATCGCACGACAGAGAAGAATAGAAGTGAAACTATTCCTAACTCTATAGACTCTGGGGATAAGCACAAATGTCTCTGTACTGATCCCCCAGACTCTACCAAGCTTGTCCGTGAATTGTGAGACCTAAGAAACCTAGAGCACTGATACCAATTTGTCACGACCCGGATTTCCCACCCTCGGGAGTCGTGATGGAGCCTACTAGTGAAAGCTAGGCAAGCTGACTATTCCGATTAATTTACCCTTTTTATTTTTAATCTCTTAACAACTTCAAGTCAACATATTATAAACAGTGAAAATAATAATACGGAAGAACGAAATTTAACAATTAGGCTAATACCAATACAAATCCATAAACATAAACTACCCAGAACTGGTGTCACAATCTTACGGACTATCTAAGAAACTACAAATAAATTCTGAACAAGAAAGTACATGTCTGTCTCTGGAATATAAAAGAACAGAAAGAAACTAGATAGGAAGGGGACTCAAAGACATGCGGACACCTGCAGGTCTACCTCGGGTCTCCTGATGGACTGAAGGCAGCAACCCCTAGCTAAGGTCCATATGCTCCAGTACCGGGATATGCACAAAAGAGTGTAGAGTGTAGTATCAGCACAACCGACTTCATGTGCTAGTAAGTGTCGAGCCTAACCTTGGTGAAGTAGTGACGAGGCTAGGACACAACAAATAAATAACCTGCAGTTACACAGTATCTAGCAGAATAATAGTAATATAAGTAATTCAAAAGTAACGGGGAGGGGTAACATACTATGGGGGAAATACCAACATAAAGAATTACAGTAATAGTGGAACAAGACAATTAGGGTAATTGAATCGAAAACAGTAAGAAATCATAACAAATAGGCAATAAATGCACGACATCACCTTTCGTGCTTTTACTCTCAATCCTCACCAATGCAATCAAGTAATGAAAATGTGCACGACATCACCCTTCGTGCTTTATCTCTCTTCCTCACCATTACAATCAAGTAATGAAAATATGCACGGCATCACCCTTCGTGTTTTATCTCTCTTCCTCACTATATAAATATTAGAAATGTGCACGGCATCACCCTTCGTGCTTTATCACTCTTCCTCACCATATGCATCAATATCAATGTAAATGTACACGACATCACCCTTCGTGCTTTATCACTCTTTCTTCACCATATGCATAAGTATGAATGTGCACGGCATCACCCTTCGTGTTTTATCACTCTTTTCTCATCCAAACAATAGCAACAACAATATCCCGGCAAGGGAATCAACAATAAGTATAAATACATCCCGGCAAGGGAACCAACAATAAGAATTAAATACGTCCCGGCAAGGGAATCATCTATAACCAAACTTGTACCAATAATCAACTTCACAATTGAACCTCAACTAGAGCCAATTCTCAACAATAACCAAATACCAAGAAGATATCATAAATCTTGCTCAACATGGATAATCAACAATTTAGACATTCGTAGTACTTATTAAGAAATACAACGATCACAATTTAAGACTCACGGGCATGCTTGACACCAACGTATAGATACTCGTCACCATACCTATACATCATACACTACACTAGGACATAGCAAATAAGGCACAATACCTATTCCCTCAAGCTAAGGTTAGAGCAAACACTTACCTTGAACTTTCATGGCCAACTCAAGCCTCAAACACCGCTTTTCCTTTAGAATTCGCCTCCAATTTACTTGTATCTAGCCCAAATTAATTTAACAACATCAATAAATGCTAAAGAATTCATACGCAATGCTTAATTATAGGTTTTCTATTATTTTTCCCAAAAAGTCAAAAATCGACCCCGGGCCCGCTTGGTCAAAACTCGAGGTTCGGATCAAAACCCGATCACCCATTCACCCATGATACCGAATATGTAATTAGTTTCGAAATCCGACCCCCAAAACGAGGTCTAAATTCTAATTATTCAAAAAGCTCTAACTCTACCCAAATTCCTAATTTCTACCATGAAAACTCTTGATTTATGATTAAAATGTGATGAAAACCGTTGGGTAATTGAAAGAGTCAAGTTTAGAATTGATTACCAGCACTTTGGGGATGAATTTGTGTGAAGAAAATCGCCTCTAGGTCTTGGTAGTTCGAAAATATAAAGAAAATGGGTTCTGCCCGTTTTTGCTACTGTTTTAAAAGACTGCGCAGGCCTTCATCGCGTTCGTGATGGGCCTGCCGCGTTCGCGAAGAGCTGCCCGTTGAGGACTTACGCGATCGCGAGTTCTCCTACGTGTACGCGAAGGGTAGGCCCCCCTGACCTTCGCGTTCGCGGACCGCACGCACGCGTTCACGTAGAAGAAATGACGACTACCCAACCCACCCCCAATTTACTATATGCGTTTGCGGGACATGGGTCGCGTTCGCGTAGAGCAGGTCCCCCAAGTGCTTCGCGTTCGCGTCCCTCTCTTTGCGTTCGCATAGAAAAAATTTCACCCCAGCTCAGTTCCCTTTCGCGATCGCGAGAGTTACTATGCGATCGCGATGCACAAAACGTCTGTGCACCTAAAGCAGCAAAACCTACAACTTTTCTAAGTGTAAAAACATTCCGTGGCCTATGCGAAACTCATCCGAGCCCTCGGGGCTCCAAACCAAACATGCATACAACCCTAAAAATATCATACGGACTTACTCGTGTAATCGAATCGCAAAAATAATGCCTCGAACTACGAGTTTAGCATCAAAATCAAAGAAAAATCTGAATAACTCTTAAGTTTCAAATTTCACAACCGAGGGTTCGATTCACGTCATTTGAATTTCGTTTTTAACCAAATTTTACAAGCACAACTTAAATATCATATAAGACCTGTACTGGGCTCCGGAGCCAAAATACGGGCCCGATACCATCAAATTCAAACACATTTAAATTTCCAAAAACTCTTATAATTTTAGTTAAACAATTTCCTTCAAAAATTTATTTCTAGTGCTTGGGACCTCGGAATTCAATTTCGGGCATACGCCCAAGTCCCATATAGTCTTCTACGGACCCTTCAGGATCGTAAAATCATGGGTCCGGGTCCATTTACCCAAAATATTGACCGATGTCAAATTAAATTCAATTTTAAAGGCAAAATTAGCATTTTTATCAAATTTTCACATAAAAATGTTCTGGATATACGTCCGGACCGTGCACGCAAATCGAAGTAAGAGAAAAGGAGGTTTCTAAGGCATCAGAACACAGAATTTACTTGTAAATCGAGTGATGACCCTTTTGGGTCTTCACAATAACAACTCGTTGAAACTATACTATGAAGTGATGAAGCAATATGAGAGGAATCGCGCGATTGTTGCAGTAGCAAAATTGGCTACCAAATGCTGAATTGTAACTCTCTAACCTAGAAAATGTTGATATTAGGGTATCTTTTCTCCCAGAAATGAAACATGAAATATGCGTTCAAAGACCAATACAGCACTTGGATTTGAGGCATATACTCGACGCTTTCTAGCAGAGAGTGCTTCTCCCTTTAAAGGGCCTTACGAGGAGCGGATCACAAATTACTCGGTATTCAAAAGTGGGCACCGAACACTAGGGGAGAAACCAAAGAAAAATAAGTCATGTACTCCCAAGGATAGTTTTAAGGGGTGAACGCTCTTCGTTGAAAAATTGCACTGTACATATAAGGTAAATTCATTTTGTGTCTCTATATATTATATTTTGAATCCTCTTGCTATAACCCAAAAGCATAACTTAGTGGTCAAGAGGGTTCAAAATCTTTTTGAGTCTGGTGGTTCAACTACTAAAAATTCGACAAAAACCATCTGTGGCGAAATCCGTTGGTTTTTGAAAATATTTTCTTTTTCAATTTTTTTTACGAAATGGGCCAAAACGCCAGAAATATTGCGTCCCGGGAACAATAAAAGGACTGCTAATATAAATATGACATTCTTTTGAGAAAACAGAAACATGCTTCAAGTAACAACCTGAAAACTAGGTATTATTACACAGATGGTTTCTTTAATGTAGCTTTTCGATATGAAGGTATCTGATAAGTTCAAAGAAGTGCTGGTGGTTCATCAATCCAATTAAGGCCACCAACATGAACAATTGCATTAAACATATTAGGCAACTCCTCACGCAAATTAGGCATTCCTTGAAACTTTAGCGTCCTAAAGACACCATTTTGAGGATCATATGAAACCAAATTGCCACATTTATAATCCAACAAGAGCTCTCCATTCTTCAACATGTATAAAACTTTCACGAAATGATGAGTGACAGAATTTGGAGTTGGCGCATAAGCCCCAATTCTGAACTCCTTTACCAAAGATTCTTTCACATTGTATTCTCTCATAACCCAAATTTCTGTTCCTCCACCATCTTGGTTAGGCAAAGTTATAGCAACAGCAAGACGGCCTCCAAGAATTGCAAGATGGAAGCTATCAGTTCTCAGGTCAGCATTAAAATCAACCTTTGGAACTTCAGCAAATACCTCATCAGCTAAATCAAAGGAAACGATAAGCCTATCAAGACGTCCATTATACTTTCCAAATCGAGTGAACCAATGCATCTTCCCGTTTAAAAAAATTCCTTGATAATTTGAATGAATAAGGTAATCAACTTTTTCAATTCTTCTCCAACTGTAGCCACCAAGAGTACATACTTCAACTTTTGAAACATTAAATGAACGGCCGTCATCACGAAACAAATTGACATAATATATGATCTTCATCACCTTGTACTCTTTGGTAATAGGATGAAAACCAAATCCAAAAATCATTTTTTGCACACCAAATTCTAATGACTCAGGCAGATCTTGGTAGCCTCATGTAAAAGGATTGTACACATAAAGTTCATTTGTAAACCGACAATCACATACGCACAATAGTCCATGACATGAACCAATCACTTCATTTAATCCAGGCACAAAGTTTGACAAAAGGGTGCTGATTTTCCTCACAACTTTTTCGTTACCAAGATCAGAAAGTTCAAGAAAGTAAAGCTGATTATCGTCCAGTTGAAAAATAATGCAAGGATCGTTCTTTAATGCACGAGACAGGTGCAAATTCACAAGCTCTGCATCATGAGACAAGTTGTAAAATGCTTGCGAACAAACTTGAATTGGAGTAGAGATGTTATGGGAAGCCTAGAAGCTATGTCAAGGACAAGTTCTTGAGGTAGGGAATCAAATCCATATCGTGTGGGAGCTTCATCAGATTGAAACTTCTGTTTGTTGGTTTCTATGTCCATAGACACATACAAAAAATAGTTACACAAAGATGAGTATAAAGATTTTGGAAATGAGAAAAATGGGAACTCCGGAAATTCTTATAGCGGTAAACAAAAGAGTTTGTTCTTTGGATGTCTGTTGGAATTACTGCATTTATTTGGAAATGTTGCAAATACTGGTACTTTTCAGTTCTTCAAATGTCTTTTTTGTTTTTCGAGGAGAATTTTTTTTATAGGAACTTGTAATGCATTTAGTGCCTGCGTTGTTAGTTGTGCACAAGACTCTTGAGTTGCTCTTTTGAGTATTTAAAATAAAGATGTATTAGTTGTAAACGGACCATTGTTAATATTTCATTTGAACTAGTATGTATTAAACATAAAATATAATCCAAATCTTTTATGAATTAAAATCCTATAAATTTTTAAATGCCAACAAATATCCTTTACATCAAGTCTTACCGGAATGTTAACTTGTCAAACCTAAAAGATTAGAGTTGAATTACTAATGTAGAGGCAAGAAAAAAATTTACTGATTTAGATAATATTGGCCCAATGACCTCATGCGGTTAGAAAGTTTTACCCATACGACCTTCACAAAATTGCATCGGTTGTACCAATAAAGGCCTGGTCTTTAACTATTGTCACCATTTTTAAATTTATCACAAAGTAGATTTTTTCGTCACCAAAAACACCATGATTTTTCAATATTTAAAGCTTGAAATTCTTACTGTGGGATGAAATTGAAAGGTAATGCTTATTATTAAAATCATTTGAGTCTTGATAATTTCTGCTTAATTTTTTAGGTCGAACACTGATTTAGTGATTTGACATTAAAGTTTTACGCCATTTAACATCCTTTCAGGGATTCAGAGAATATAAAGATGCAAAAACCTGTTGTTACTTCTAAAATGAAGGCTACGAAAACGCCTCAATCCCAAATATATTGTAATTGGCTATATAATTTCATACACGATGTTATCTAATCCGGTGGACATATTGATGAATAGTGATAAACTTTTGGGGTCTATGGACCTGTTAATGTTGGTATGCATAATTGGGCATGTCAATTAGCTTTTGACTAATGTTATCGGCAAGAGATAGTACGTTAGGTACAAGATTTAGAGAATCCCTAGATTCAACCCAAATAAGTATAATAAATATAGATGATTCGACCCAACTAGTTAGCGATTTAGCAACAATGTTTTCTGTTTTTGTAAATCTTTGGAAGTTGTTTATCCAACTAAAACAACAACTAGTATGAGATGAAGAAAAGGACTGTAAAACATCTAAGCATTTGCCTGCAGCTGTAGTTAAGCATAATTGACCTGTAGTTTGATGTTATAAGTCACAATTCATAAAACAAAGATGACTCTTAAGTCCTATTAATTGATTCAGAAGATCACATAATCTTTAGACATACACTGAAAATCAACATCTTCTTCTGTATGTTACACAGAGAACTATTTTACAAAACAAAGCAACAATGTACTAAGAGCCCGTTTGGATTAGCTAATTTGAAGTAGCTGATAAGCATTACGTGCTGAAAAGCACTTTTAAGTGCTGAAACTGATTTAATAAATAAGTAGTTACATGTTTGGGTACAAGTGCTGAAATTGATAATAAGTTGTTGCAGTATTTGATAAAAAAAAGTGCTGATAAGCTATTTTTCTGTTAAAATGACTTAAATAACCTTAGAACTATTTACACTTATAAGGGCGTACACTACAAAAAAACTGAAATTAGCTACGAACGTCGTCGATAATCTGTCGCTAAAACGCTCGTAGCTAGCAGAATCTTTTGATAATTCGTCGCTAATCCGTCGCTAAATGAGATTAGCGACGAATTTTTCTGTTTAGTTACAGAATTTGTCTGTCGCTAAAATCTATTTTATTTAGTAGTGGTAATTTCTTCAAAATTTTAGATTCCGGATCGATTCAAATATAAAATATTCTATTTGTCATTTTATTTTAAATATAATTGTGCTTAAATAAGATAATTTTTATGATAAATATAATTTATTTTATGATAAACATATAATCATAAGTTATAATAACTAATAAACTGACAAATAATTTTCAGTAAAAAATAAACCTAAATAAGACAATTTATTTGAAGAGAAACAAATATTGTCTTCATCACCACAATACTTAGAAAGNATAATTTTTATGATAAATATAATTTATTTTATGATAGACATATAATCATAAGTTATAATACCTAGTAAATTGACAAAAATTTCTCACTAAAAAATAAACCTAAATAAGACAAATTATTTAAAGAGAAACAAATATTGTCTTCATCACTACAACACTTAGAAAGCAATACACCAAAAATGCAAAGCAATAGAGAATTTGCTTATCTTAAATAGTCAACGAGAATGGACTTGAAGAGGTGGGGGAGGGGGGAGGGAGGGGTAGGTTGAATACTTGAGGCAGTGAGTATCGATATAGGAGTTTTGTTCTAAAAAAGAATATTTTAAGGATAAAATAGTAAAAATTTTAGTCAAACTTAAAGTGCTTATAAGCCAAAAATTCATAAGTTGGGGGTGACCAACTTATGGCTTTTGGCTAATTTTTGACTTTTAAGTACTTGGCTTATAAGCACTTTTAACTTTACCAAACGCGTACATAAGCTTAAAAGTGCTCATAAGCTAGTTTGACCAGCTTATAAGCTTATCCAAACACCTTCTAAGAATGAAAAACAAAGGGAAATGACTTTAAAAGGAAACAGAAGTAATATATGCTTAAACATATGAGGAAGTTTCCAACGGGAAGGTATCTAATAAGTTTGATGATCTAATTAGAAGGTGGGATATCAATCCAATTAAGGCAACCGATATGAACACATGTCTGAAACAAATTAGGCATTCCCTGAAATTTTAGAGTCCTAAAAATACTATTTTTAGGATCATATGAAACCAAATTGCCACCTTTATACTCAAACAAGATCTCTCCATTCTTCAAAAGGCGTAGAAATTTTACCAATGGCTGCAAATGCTGAGTGACAGCATTTGGAGTTGGAGTATAAGCCCCAATCATGAACTCCTTCACCCAAGACTCTTTCACATTGTATTCTTTCATTACCCAAATTTCTATTCCTCCCACATTTTGGTGAGGCAAAGTTAGAGCGGCAGCAAGACAATCTCCAATAACTGCTAGATGCAACTTCTTAATTCTTGGATTGACACCTAAATCAACCATTGGAACTTCAGCAAATACCTCATCAGCTAAATCAAAGGAAACAATAAGCCTATCACGACGTCCATCATACTTACCAAATTGAGTCAACCAATGCATCTTCCCATTTAACATAACTCCTTGAGAACTTGGATCAAACCGATAAACGACTTGCCCAACACTTCTCCATCTGTTGGTACCAAGACTAAATACTTGAACATCTGATTTACCAAAGTATGGAGGTCGATACCTACGATAGCGACAAGAGACATGGTTATACATATTTGCATAATTTATAATCTTGATCACCTTGTACTCTTTGGTAATAGGATGAAAACCAAATCCAAGAACCACTTTTTGCACCTCAAATTCTACTGATTTAGGCAGCTCTTTGTAGTCCCTTGTAAAAGGGTTGCACACATAAAGTTCATTACTAAACAGAGAATGACATATGCACAACAATCCATGACATGAGCCAACCACTTTAAATTCAGGCACAGAGTTTGCAAAAGGGGTGCTGATTTTCCTCACAACCTCTTCCTTACCATTATCAGAAAATTCAAGAAAGTAGAGCTGATTCCTTAAAGGATAATCCGCGTGAAAAATAATGCAAGGATCGTTCTTTACAGTACGAGACAGGTGCAGATTCACAAGCTCTTTATCATTTAACAAGTTGAAAAATGACTTGCAAGCAAACTTGAATTGGACTAAAGATGTTATGGGAAGCCTGGAAACTATGTTAAGGACAATTTCTTGAGGTAGGCAATTAAATCCATATGTGGGGTGAGTTTGTTCAGATTGACACTTTTGTTTCTTGGTTTGTATATCCATAACACAGAAAAACGGGCAGAGAAAGATTAAGCAAAAAAGGCTAGGAAATGGAGGAAGATGTGCTGAGAAAACAACTAGGAGGCGTGGAAATTTAGGAACTCTTGTAGTACTAAATTCCACAAGTAAACAGTGTATATTCTCTTTGGACGGCTCAATTTATCCACATCGATGATTACACTAATTCAATAAATAAATTGGGACAGAGGGAGTAAGAAGCAGCTAATGTTAAATTAGTTTTGAAACATTGGCTAAAGCTTGATTATTAGCGGTTCAAGACTTTTTCCCATTTCTTTCTATAAAGAGTTGCGAAAAGTAAATTTTATTTTTATTGAATTTGTGTAATCGTCAATGTAGATAAGTTTAGCCGTCCAAAAGAATATACAACTCTTTTTTATTCATAGTAAGATGATTTATAGGTATTGTCACACCTCCTTCTTCCGTCCCGCGAGGGGCGAAGGAGTTTTTTCCAATCAAAGGACAATCGAAACGAGATTTATTTATTTATTTCAGAGTCGTCACTTGGGAGATTTAGGGT